TATCCATGGTAATACCTTGTCAATTTAGTCTTTGTATATGTTTGAATGTTTAATTATAGTATTTTTGACCCCAAAAAAAATTATAGTATAACTTTGATGGGCCATGTCGAACAAGCTAAGGAAAAATAAAATAACTAATCTTGCACGAAATATGCTTCAAAACATTTTATGGATAAGGCTTACCAATTCATTTTGAATTGTTACAAAAAATAAACTTTTTATTTTAATTAGCCAAATAAAAAGTGAAGTGCCATTTGCATGAACTTTTCTCGAGATAGCTTCTACCGAGTTCTTCCTTTCATTAACAAATTTGTGCAATTCTTTCACGGAAAGTACATATATCAAATTGGTAATTCGCTGAAGTATGTATTATTTATGTATTTATATTAATGTAATGTGTAACTCAATTTTGAAACACATGTTTGGATCACTGTTAGAGTTGAATTTGTGTCACAAATCCGGTCCACAAAAAAATCAATACAAAACATATTTAAAGCGTTAACATAATAGGCTTTGGCCCAGATCACATGCCCGGATAATTAAGCGACGAGTGTTGATTAGTGGAAGCTGAGCAGCGGAGCTGAGTCAAATGAACATTTTTGCCTCGGTCACCTTCACGAGATTTCTGGATATTTAACTATGACTGTGCTCGAGATACGCTGGACGACGAGGATGAATCAAGTTATAGCCTACAAATACAAGAGATCTGGAGGATTTCGAGATCTTTTTCCGTATTAGAACACTAATTAGCATTAGAATTAACTCTGTAAACACATCTCTCTTGAGATCCTCTATGTATATTCGATATTCATCAATGTAAGTTCACCTCGTCATACTCATCTCGACTTATATCATATTTATAGATATTTCTTTATCCTAAACTTTCTTCTATGAATATCACATTAAAATTCTTATCGCAAAATTCAGCTTCCACAATCACCCTAAGTCTGAAGTAAGATTCAAAATATATGAATCTTTTAAAAAACAATCATATATGCTATGCACTAGAAATATCTCATGTTAGATATGAAACCATGGTTTTTTTGGTTCGTTATATCAAATCCTATTTAGTTTATTATTTTTGTGACACCAAATTACAAAGAGGCCCAACAAAAGGCCCATTTTCTTGAGTGATCCCCAAGTTTTTTAAGCAAGCGTTTGTGGGTTGTGGTTTGTTTTTTTCTTTGCTTCAGATCCGATACATGTAAAAGTTTCAAAAAATTTATTGGTTTTTTAGGGTTTGCTAATGATTTTGCTGCGTGGTTCTGAAAACTAGACTCCCACGGCTTGGGGATTTGCTTTGGCAACCATGGAGGATGAATTCGGTGGAAATTTAAAACGGCAACTCAAGAAGCTCTTTGATGCTTCTCTTAAATCAACACTTCCCTATGAAGCTGGTGTTGAGCCCTTGGTTAATGCATCCACACATTTTGGAGATAAGCCCTGGATTCATCAATGTTGTACTATCATCTGCGTGGATGGCCAAGTGCATTGAGAGTATGCTTATCAATGGAATTGACTCATGGGCGCCTAAACTTTCGGTTAAGCGAGCCGTGGTTGATTTTTGCTCTCCAAACATTGCAAAAGAAATGCATGTTGGTCATCTAAGATCAATTACCATCGGTGACACGCTAGCTCGCATGCTCGAGTACTCAAAGGTTCAAGTTCTACGCAGAAACCATGTCGGTGACTGGGGAACACAGGTACCTACTACTCTCCAAATGATTTATTAACCTTTGAAACAAATAAAAGCTCTGCTTTCTCTCTGCAGTTTGGTATGTTAATCGAGTACCTCTTTGAGCAATTCCCTGGTTCAGATGGATCGGCCGTGACAGCGATTAGAGATCTTCAGGTTAGCTGCCTTACATCATATGGCTTCTGAAGCTTTACACTTGTTCTTATGTTCCAATATTGGCTAATGCACTTCAGTTTATGTTCAAACATTGCTAACATGATTGAAGAACTGAGTAGCAAAGTGTTAATTCAAGAAAGTCATGGTGCTCGGGTCATTTTCATCAAAGAGTTTATGATGATACCACTCATGCTTGTCAAGAGTGATGGTGGTTTTACTTATGACACAACGGATATGGCTGCTCTTTGGTACCGGCTTAACGAAGAGAAAGCTGAGTGGATTATTTATGTGACAGAAGCTAACCAAGAGGGGCACTTTGATAGGTTATTCAAAGTATGTTTGATGAATTTTTGTTTTTATATTTGACGATTTTGTGAAATGTTGTCTTGATTCAAATTGTTAATCAGGCTGCCAGAAAAGCAGATTGGCTTCCATCTAATGATAAAACTTACCCCAGAGCTAGTCATGTTAGATTTGGTCAAGTCCTTGGAGAAGGTAACAGGCGGTATAGAAGTCGATATATACAGATACAATCCCCCTAGTTGATTTGTTAGAGAGGGTCAAGGGTCGCAGTAAAACTGCCCTTGTTAAGCGTGGTATATAACTCTTTTCCAGAAATGTTTACGTTTTTGGATTTGGTGAACCATTCGCTTGTCGGTTATCATGTGACCCCTTACATGTTCCTCCTCTCTGGTTAGGTAAAGACAAAGAATGGACACTCGAGGAGCTGAACCAAACAGCTGAGGCAGTTGGTTACGGTGCGCTGAAGTAAGTATCATCATCTCTATTCTACTGCTTGTGATAGTGAATCTGTTTTAAGTATCTTCTGGTTTTCTTTCAAGGTATGCTGATCTGAAGAACAACAGATCGACAGATTATTCTTTCAGCTTTGATCAAATGCTTAATGACAAGGTGCTTGAATTTGGGAGCTAGTCTGCGTATTTTCATTATGCAAGTCTTCGTCTTCTACAAAATGCTTATTGAATAATTGATCATATGTTATGAGCCAGGGAGATACAGTTGTTTACCTTCTTCGCGCTCATGCTCGGATCTGCTCAATCATCAGAAAGTCTGGCAAAGACATAGATGAGTTGAAAAAGACAGGAAAGCTAGCATTGGATCATGCAGAAGAACGGGCACTAGGGCTTCACCTGCTTCGATTTACCGAGGTAAAAGACATAGTTATGGAGCTTCTCTCTTTTTTTTTTTTTTCTTGGCAACAAGATGTAACAGTTGCAATCCATGTGTGAATGATTTGCAGACGGTTGAGGAAGCGTGCACCAAATTGTTACCGAACGTGTTGTGCGAGTACCTCTACAAATTATCTAAACATTGCACCAAATTCTAGTACGATTGTCAGGTCATTGGTTCAGCAGAGGAGACAAGCCGTCTCCTACTTTGTGAAGCAACGGCCATTGTCATGCGGAAATGCTTCCACCTTCTTGGAATCACCCCTGTTTACAAGCTTTGATACATCACATCACTATTGAGAAAGGCTTTCTTCAAATTACAACAGTAAAAACAATTATAAAACGTTTGGATCAAGTTTTCAAAGATTCATTATATTTTTTTTTCAATTTTTTTTCCTCAGAATGATTATGAACTTTTTCACCTCAAATCTCAAGTCTCTTTCCCATGAATCTCCTACATGTTTTCTTTTTTTACCAAATCATTGAACAAAATCTATACAAAAATATGAAATACCAATATTATTACCCTTCACTCTTAGCCACCGTAGT